AATGTATAATTCCGTATGCAAATACTAATAAAATCCTGTCAGCAATGTAAGCCGCCTTAAACAATAAAAAAAAAAAATAAATAAATAAAGAGCAAGATTGTCTAAGTTAAAAAAAACTTATAATACTTTAAAAATTTATAAAAAAAAAATATATATATATTTTTGTTTTTTGTTTTTTTTTTGATAAAAATAATTATCTGAAAGAATTTTTTGGATCATAAAATAACTTATTATTACTTAATTACAAAAAAATCAAGTAAAATCAACTCTCTATATAGTTACCTTCTATATAATCATATCATAAATTATCATATTAATATTTAAACTATACTTTGATTTAATATATAATAAAAAAACCCTCTATATAAGCACAACCTTTTTATAAGTACATTTTTAAAAAAACTTACTATGTGCTCAACTATGTGATTATATAGAAGAATGTGTATATAATATTAAATAGAATCTAGTCTATAATAATTTAAAACTACTAATATGATTATTTTAAAACCGTATGACAGTTGATTACATAATCGTAAACTAGTTTACGATTAAAAGATTAAAACTAATCATACCAGTCTATATGAAAATCATGTTATATATAATTTGAATAAGCTAGAAAAAAAAGCGCGAGTTGTTACATGGGATAATACGTAATGTCTAGATCACTTTCGATAGTTTTTTATACGTATAACATAACTATATCGATATTTATCAGTTTAATCTCAATCACTAATTCAATCATTAATTGTTATAAACATGCAAGAGAAATAAAATAATAAACTTCATTCCTTTAATACCTGTGGAATCATTTTCAGATATTTTATATAATAAACTACTAATACTTCATGACTTCATGATAATTGTGATTCGATCATTTAGCTTCTTAAATTTTCTTGCCTGCCTGCCCAAAAAGGAAATAAAAACTCTCAAAAACTCAAATCTCTAAATTGAAATGATATATCACAGGGATAAGCCTGGTGACCAAAAAGCAAATACTACGGAGTTGTTCAAAAATAAATCCACCAAACAAAAATATTTACTAGACAATTGCAAAAATGTGTATGTAAAATTTCTATATTATTTTGCATTTCTACTACCGAAAGGTACCCATCCGGAAATCGCTAAATTTAAGAAATAATTATTAATATTAAATGACAAAATTTTAAATAATAAAGTAATAATAAATATATAACAAGAACTTTACCATTTTTAATATTATACCATATACCCTTTGGTTCTGATGATTGTTGATTTGATATCTCTAAATTATTATTTTCATTAATTACTTCGACTTGTTCCGTTAAGAATAAAGGTATTACTTGTTCATCAGATTCTTGTTCGACTAGTTGATCTACTTCCGTTAGACATTTCTTACTGAATAATAAATAAATAATACCTGTTAAAGGTTATAGCAAGAAGATAAATTTTTTGATAATAATACACTACATGTTTGCTTTTTCCTTTCTTTTGTGCAGAAATTTTATTTTCAACTACTTTAGGCTTACCAACTAAATTACTACAGATGAAATGCTTCAGGACTTCATACTTATATTAAATTAATATAGTCTTTACTACTAATTAGGAAGGCAATATACTGTTCAACCCTAGTAGTAAACATGAGGAAGATTAAGTTATCAAATAGTCAAGATATATGCAATATTTTATTAGAATCGATCCATGTGATATCAGAAGGAGAGTGCAATCAATTTAATCCTAGAGATGGGTCTAACAATGATAATCTTCTTTCTAATTTAAATTTGAATTTGTGGTTTTAAATGTTTTTGGTTGGTCTAAACAATAAACGTGATTCTGCTTATTGCGTTTGTAGTTTAAAATATTTTAGACTATAACAGTAAACATAACTCTATTTGTTGTTTTTGGGTATATGTTGATCTAAGTAAAACTGACATGTTAGCATAAAGCCTTCAACAAGTCAGATATAAAATATATTAGAGCATAGGTTGTTCTGTTAAATAAAAAGAGGCGTGAGTATAAAGATGATTTATTAACATTAATCAGTGGAATTTAAATTATAAACATAAATACTTATTCAAAAATACTTATCTCTAAATACTTATTTACAATTAATTATCTAATATACTTCAAATAGTGAGTGAGTATAAAGATGATTTATTAATGTTAATCAGTAGAATTAAAATTATGAACATAAATACTTATTCATATCTACTTATCTCTAAATACTTATTTACAATTAATTACCTAATACCCTTCAAATAGTATACGAGTACTGTATTAAGATAGTTAATTAGTATAATTAAAATTATAAATATAAATACTTATTTGTAAATACTTATCACTAAATACTAATACCTTTCAAATAGTAGATACTTATTAATGTTAATCAGTTTCATTAAAATTATAAACATAAATACTTATTCATATCTACATATCTCTAAATACTTATTTATAATTAATTACCTAATACTCTTCAAATAGTGTGCGAGTATTAAGATAGTTAATCAGTATAATTAAAATCACGAACATAAATACTTATTTGTAAATACTTACCACTAAATACTTATTTACAATTAATTACCTAATACCCTTTAAATAGTAGGTGAATATAAAGATGAGTTATTTATGTTAATCAGTTTATTAAAATTATGAACATAAATACTTATTCATAATACTTATCTCTAAATACTTTTTTACAATTAATTACCTAATACCCTTCAAATAGTCTGAGTATAAAGATAATTTATTAATATAAATCAGTTTTATTAAAGTCATAAATATAAATACTTATTCATAATATCACTAAATATTTATTTACAATTAATTATCTAATACATTTCTTTCATTCGTATTAATTTAGCCTGTAAGTATAAAGATGATTTATTAATGTTAATCAGTAGAATTAAAGATATGAATATAAATACTTATTCATAAATATTTATCTCTAAATACTTATTTACAATTAATTATCTAATACCCTTCAAATTATTTCTTTTATTCATATTAATTTAGTCCATGAGTATAAAGATGATTTGTTAATATTAATCAGTAGAATTAAAATCATAAAATACTTATTTATAAATACTTAATTTA